CGGATCTTGAGTTACTAATTGAACAAAATCTTCAAAGCTTCTCAGTTAACGGATCTTGAGTTACTAATTGGACAAAATCTTCAAAGCTTCCCAGTTAACGGTTCTTGAGTTACTAACTGAATGAAATCTTCAAACTTCTCAGTTAACGGTTCTTAAGTTACTAATTGAACAAAATCTTCAAAGCTTTTCAGTTAACGGTTCTTGAGTTACTAATTGAAAAAAATCTTCAAACCTTCTCAGTTAACGGTTTTTGAGTTACTAATTGAGAAAAATCTTCAGTTAACGGTTCTTGAGTTACTAATTGAACAAAATCTTCAAACCTTCTCAGTTAACGGTTACTAACTGAACACAATCTTCAAAACTTCATGGCGTGTAGATTAGGACACACACACCCTCCAGGCCATACCTAACCGAGTAACTATACATACAAAGATACATGTGTTCTAAACCATAAAATTATTGAGAGATTTTGTTAATTAAAGTATGCCATTGTGAACATGTTAAGACAAAGTATATTAAAAAAGCAACATTTCCACAAACTCACACATGTACGTAATGACAGAAAATGTTACCAATGATTAGAAGGAGATGCATCGTTAGTATTCCACGGCGACTGTTGGGAACCAAGTACGAGAGACAGAAACACAAGTTGGCCAGTTGAAAGAGCACGTGCTGAGTCTGTTGCCATGAGCTACACGTTAAGTCTTCCTTGACATTTCCCATAGCTACCTGTGACATTTCGTATAAATACAACCATTAATCAGTTAAATAATGAAAACATCTGAGGAGAAAAATATTATTGAGAAATATTACAAAAACGTTTTACCTACAAAACATGACTATAAGAGGTTTCACGTTGTTAGCAGCTTGTTTTATACAAGCTATGTTTCATTGTGTTTATATTGTACAAATTTATGTCTAAAATATTAATTCAACCATTCAGTAGGATAATTACAGTTTTTTGAAAACTACGACCCGTGTGTTTTAAAGCCTTATCCTCTTCGTTGCTAACACTAACAGGTTAAACAAAACATACCATCTATTAAGTCTACCTTAGCCGCTTCCCTGCGAGACAACATGGCTCCTGTAGCGTGTACGTTGAATTCTAAAATTACTTTAAACACAAACAAAATAAGATAGTTAAGATTGATCGATATTTTTATATTTCAATCTATGCGTTTTCTTGGTTCTTTTCTATACAAATAGCATAACAGTATTTTTCATGTTTTTCTTTTTCGATACAGTGAACAATAATAATATTCCAGAAAAGCGTAAAACATAAAAGGTAAGGTTAAATGTTTGGCAGCGTACGTTAACATGTACGTTTAAACGTCCTTCTTGCGTGACAAACTGTCTGCCATTGCCACTAAGTTTAATAAAATTAATTTTTCTTCGCCAAAAAAAGGTCACTTTACGGATTAGCAACTGGAAAATGTGAAGTAGAAATTAACAAAGAAACCCCTCTCTCTATATATATCTATATATGTATATATTCTTATTGTACGATTTTGATAAGGTACAGGCCATAGAGAAACACACAGATGACTACTACTGGAGAAAATCCTTTTGTGTGCATAGGCGTAGCGGCTTTATTTGGAACGGGGGCAAGCAAGTTTTGCCCGAAGATATAAAATCACGTACTATGAGGTTTAAAGTCGCTTGAAAAAAATAGGTTCCAATGACTTCCATACGGTGCTAAAGGTGCAAGTGAAAATGTCACGTGTGGGTAATATATTTTCTGAAAAAGCATAATCAGTTTGCAGATATAAAAGTTATATATATATGTATATGTATATATGCGTATGTATGTATATATGTGCATATATATATGTATATGTATATATATATCTATATATGTATATATATGTATGTATATATATATATATATGTGCGGAGCTTTGGCTCGAATATTTTGGGTGATGTTTGCCCGAAAAACTACTTGGGCCAGAATTTGGAGGAAATTGCACCCTTGAACTCCCGCCTCCTACGCTATGTTTGTGTGTATTGGTGGCTGAAGTACTAGAGTTCTGACAAGGAATGGAGTTAAGCTTGTTGTGTATATTAGTGGCCGAAGTGTTATTATCTTTAAGATATGTTAGCTTGTTTTCAGGTTTTTCGACGTGATTGTGTTGTTCCATATTAAATATACGGATAAGTGTAAAAGGTTGTTGTCGTTTAACTACCAAAAGTCAAATATACGGATGAGTGTAAAAGGTTGTTGTCGTTTAACTACCAAAGTTAAATATACGGATAAGTGTAAAAGGTTGTTGTCGTTTAACTACAAAAAATCAAATATACGGATAAGCCACATCATCATTTGAATTTTGATGGTTGGGCTTTTGGTAGTTAAACGACAACAACATTTTACACTTATCCGTATATTTGACTTTTGGTAGTTAAACGACAACAACATTTTACACTTATCGTCTAGTTATCTCCTTTTTAAACATAAAACGACTTTTTACATAAATGAACTCTGCATTGACAATTAAAACATTAAGAAATATACAGACATCTGAATATACACAAAAATTGTAAAAATCATAATGCCGTCATTGTCTAAAGGTTAACATAAAATCTGTATTATTAACCATAACATTGTATTTTGAAGATATACTACTAAACTACATCTCAATAATTGATTGAGAAATAGAACTAGAATATTGTTAAACAACAAAGAAAACATTTTTGTGACTTTTCTAATTTTCGAACGGGAATGGGATATACCCAGTGAACTTCCTGCAGAGAAAGCACACACACTGGCGTTGTCCCGTGTCATAGATAATCCAGGGATTTGTTTCTCTTACCACTAGGGATTGAAATCCCTGTAAGAGGTTTCTCTCCAGAACATATTTGGATTACAGTCCTTTAGGGGTAGTGGGCAACTGGTTGGGGACGGAGTCTGGACCCCTGTGCTGCAGGTGAGAGAGGCTCATAACTTTTGTCATCATCATCAGAGCTCGATTCAACGTCAGGCTCATAAGATTTGTCATCATCATCAGAGCTCGATTCCACGTCAGGCTCATAACTTTTGTCATCGTCATCAGAGCTCGATTCAACGTCAGACGTTACAATGAACGAATCATTTACAATGTGATCCGCCGCATGCGAAATATCAAAAACAGTCTGATACGACAACGGAGCCCATGCCAGTCTCAGACATTGATACGACAACGGAACCCATGCCAGACTCAGACATAAAAAACTGTGCTTCAGAGTAATATTTATCATAGCAAGGTCTGAGTCACTGACACCGACCTCAGAATCCGCGATCTCCTCTAATCCTGTTTCTGGATGGATCACTTCTACCCATTGAACCATTTCTTCCGATTGAACCATTTCTTCAGATTGAACCATTTCTTCCCATTGAACCATTTCTTCTGATGGCCTATTTTTGTGAGCAAGAATTCATAGACACACTGTCGCTGCTTCCACTTTCTCGTTCCTCGACAGGTTCCATATTTTGATTTTGATTTAGATCAATGGTACGTTGTTTCTCTGATTAACTGTTGACCATAAACACATATGATAGAGTCTACTACACTATTACTGAGATCAACTGAGATCTTTCTGGCTTATTTCGTGAATACGGTCCTGGAGCTATGTTGTTTTAACGTAGACTTACCTAGATTATTTATCTACAAACCTCATAATTAGTCCAAGACGGCCTTTTTGTTTAATAATAGCATTTAAACTATATCTTTTAACTAGCTCAACTCACTGTCTGTATGAAAAGTTTTGGTTCTGGGCAAAAAAGATAAGTTATTTTATTGAAAGAAAGATGAAAACCAATAGCAGACAAAAGATAGAACTAAAATATATTTTTATTTACAATTCTAACTTGAAATTCATCAAAGACTAAATGATAAAAACAAAACTTTCCTAGACTAGCATGACTTTTATCACTAATTTATACAAATAGGTATGAAAAAGTTTCAGGAAAGTTAGGGTTCACACTATATGAAAGAAATAAGCAAAGAATAAAAATTATTTTTCTGACAGAGATGAAACAAATGAACGGAGATCACTGATTCCAGGATCTAGATTAATTCCACAAGATTGAACAGTGTTTAGATTAACAGTCCAACAAGCTTCTTTTATTTCTCTACCTACTTTAGTTTTGAATCCTGTTTCAATGCCGATTAGAGTAACATCGTTAATAGAATGACTGAATTGGTTAAAGTGTTGAGCAACAGAGATATCTTTTTACAGTGTTAATATAATATTTATGATTGTTGAAACGTTCACTAAGAGTTGTTTCTGTATGTCCTACATATTGGTAATTGCATTTTTTACACTGTATAAAGTATATAGTGTTTTGTGCTCCACAAGTGATTTATTTGAATATTTTAAAGTTTCTTTGGTAGTGATTGTCATGAAACGAGTCAGTAGTTTTATACATTTGCAGGTTTGACAACAGGCTGTATTACATGGATGACAACCACTTTTTGGTGGGATGTAATTCACTTTTGTGTGAACAAGGATATCTTTTAGAGTTCTGCTTTTCCAGAAGGAGACAATGGGAACTACATGAAATATCTGTTTAAGGTGATCGTTGAGTTGCAGGAGATGAAAATGTTTTTTCAGAACTCGTGAAACGTTTCTGAGTTTAAATTGATAGGTAATAACAAGAAGAATTAATTATATTTGAACCTATAGTATTGTTCTGTTTTAGTATGTGTTTCTGCTGAATGTTAGACTTTTCGCCCTGTCTGTCGATTTCGGTATCTTTATATCCTCTTTGTAACATGGTTTGTTTTAGATATTTAGTGTGTTTTCTATTATCTGTTTCATATTTTATTCTAAGAGTTTGACTGTAGGTAATGTTTCGTTTAATGTGAGTGAAGTAACAGCTTTTACAGTGAAGGTTTTGTGGTCTGTCTGTAGGTTTTTTGTATAAGTCAGTGTGTAAAATTACGTCCTTTAAACGTCAAGAAAGTTAATCTGGGTAGGAGAGTAATCAAAAGCAAATTTGATTGTTTTTTGAAAGAAGTTTTCATATGAGATAAATTCCTTAAGTGATTCAAAACCGGCTGTCCAAATGAAAAATATGTTGTCTAGGTAACGTTTCCATGCATGAGGTTTTGGAGGGCTTAGTTGTAAAAGCTGGTTTTCAATATGACCCATAAACATTTCCGCATAATTTGGAGCCATTTTGGTACCCATTGCACCACTCAGTTACTAGGAAACTTCAATGACTCCAGCAGTCTGGTATTACTTCTCAGTTACTGCTATTAAAAGGAAACATCAATGACTCCAGCAGTCGAGTATTACTTTTCAGTTACTGCTATTAAAAGGAAACTTCAATGACTCTAGCAGTCAGGTATTACTACTCAGTTACTGCTCTTAAATAGAAACATCAATGACTCTAGCAGTCGGGTATTACTACTCAGTTACTGCTATTAAAAAGAAACATCAATGACTCCGGCAGTCGGGTATTACTACTCAGTTACTAGGAAACATCAATGACTCTAGCAGTCGGATATTACTACTCAGTTATTAGTAACTGAGTAGTAATACCCGACTGCTAGAGTCATTGATGTTTCCTTTTAATAGCAGTAACTGAGTAGTAATACCCGACTGCTGGAGTCATTGATGTTTCCTTTTAATAGCAGTAACTGAGTAGTAATACCCGACTGCTGGAGTCATTGATGTTTCCTGGCTATTAAAGGAAACATCAATGACTCCAGCAGTCAGGTTTACTACTCAGTTACTGCTATTAAAAGTAGATATCAATTTATGGTTATTTTCACTGACACAAATTTATAAAACCTAAAAACGTTACACGTAAACTTAAGAATCACTTATCACCCAACGTATAACAAGTTAACGTTCATGCTACAACCCTACAAAACAACTAATTTTATTTACTAATCTTAATAAGTAACATGTTTTAACCTCGTATTATTCAATAAGTAACATGATTTAACCTTGTATTATCTAATAAGGTGTTGGAGATTTAACAGTAGACGATTTGGAGTTCACCCCCACCCCCACCCACCCACCCAAAAAAAAAACACACGATAGACTATAACCAGGCTTCTACGTTATTCTAACCAAATTTTCTTTATG